TTTACTGAGACCATCCAAATCCTGTCCCACAGATTCGTAGTTTTAATAAGCTAAAAGTACATACCCAGTTATTCTGGTTCAGTGTCCCAAAAATATCAGCTGATTGAAAATCTTTGCGTTTTTTGTTTTCTTTTTTTCCTGGAAATTATAATGTTGTAGTTCCTCTCAAGTTATAGTTGACTCTTCTGGAGGAAAAAAATAAAATCCAGGGAAACACATTTTGGGTTTAAAAAAAAACTGCTTTAAACTTCTGATAAAAATTCTAATCACTGACTTCAGTGATATGAGAAAGTGACCTTTAATTTCCAATGTATTATTCCATGTTATGATGGCAGAGCCAGTAATTACTAGATCTGAAGTTGATGTTTTGCCACTTGGAATTTGATTACCTTGAGTTTTTCCATTTATCTTAAAGTAGACATTTCTTTTCTTGCTCTAGAGTATACGTTCCTATTATATGACTGCTAAGTATTTTTAAGTATGAAGTTTCCTGCATCATCTGAATTGAATTGTGGCTTAGCTAATTTATAATTCTAAAAAAATGTATAGTTTGTTAGTTGTTTGCACTTTGTGATGGTTTCACTTGGTTGGCACTTGGCTTGCAGCAAGTGAAAAACATAGCTGTTTGCTCACTCCCCCTCCCTGCCCCCCAACAGGGATAGGGGAGAGAACTGGGGGCGAGGGTAAGGAGACTCATAGGTTGAGATAACAACAATTTAATAATTGAAATAAAAGCAAACTTAAATAATATCAATATTAAAATAACAATAATAATAACAGTTAAAAAATATGCAAATGAGTGATACCCAGTGCAATTGCTCAGCACCCGCCAAGCAAGCCCAGCCCCTTCCCAGATAACGATCCCGGAGCGACAATCTTGAAACCAAAACCACAATCCCAAAAGAGTGAGAGCCCAAGCAAAAGAGAGAGCAAGAGAGGAGGAGACCCTCATTAATTTACTAAACATGACGTGATATGATATGGAATATCCTATTGGCATATCCAAATCCCAGTTTAGCTTATTAATTTAAATATTCCTCACCCCCTGCTAGGTCTTGCACTTGTAGACTAACAAAACACTAAGTCCAACTTCCAGTGACAAAATGAAAACATTGGTATGTTATCAACATTTTTCTCATAACAAATCCCAGGCTGAAACCAAAACGCAGCACTATTCTAGCTACTAAAAAGAAACCCAGCTCTGTCTCAGCTAAAAAGCAGGACACACATCAAATAGTTTTGTTTCTTTAATGGAAACCTCAAGGCTGTTTTCAGCCATGGAATTTAGGATCTAGGATATGGTGCTTAGTATTATTTGTTATTTCTTCTGTACAGTCCCTGACAGGTTGTTGTGCATGTTTGCTTGGAGCAAATATATCACTCTTCAGGCCTGATGCTTGGGAAAACTGCTGTCATCCGAACTCAAAGTCCATAAATATAAATGTAGAGATAAACCCAGGTTAGCAGTCTCCTCTGGTGGCATAGATTACTGTGCTTGCTGAGTTAGGATTCTTCTCCATAACGTTTGCAAAGGAACATATTCCACACATGTGTCTAGATAGTTCCCTCACTCTCAGTTGTTTAAATCTTCTAGTTACTCTGTCTACTAATTTTCAACTTCACCATATATGCCACAGAAGACTATTTTACCTGCTATGACTTTCTTGATGCATAACCCTTCATTTTTCATTTGTCCCCATCCACTTTCTAAACATGTGTGTGCCAACCAGTGAACTACAAATCATCAAGAAAAGTACAGAGCTATTCTGCTTAACTCGTAAAGTGAATATTCTCAAGCCAGTGATTTTTGAACAGAGCATGAGACAATCTTGGACAAACTGGCGAGATGGATATCCACTGCTCTGTTGTAGTCAAGATAGATGGGTAAAGCTATATATGTGAGAGACAGATCTGTCAACCTTTGCGCTTGTGCCCTAGCAAGAAGGAGATTACCTGTCCTTTGTCCAGGTGGAAGCTGGCACTGCATTCTTCCAGATGGTTTAATTTACCCACTACAGAAGAATGAGACAGGGTTAGAAATGGGCGATGGATAGCATTATCATTCTACTTCAAATTAGTTTACTTAGTCTAATTCTTCTTTGGAAGGTAATTACTGTAAAGTAAAATCATCATACTAGGGAAAATTTCCTCTGAACAGGAGACAGTGACCTTACAGTGGACATTCCGAACAGTGACTCCCATAGGAAATGCATAGTATGATTTCTAATACTACAGATATATTCAAGTTTGCATTTTGTGCAAAGGGAACAGATTCAAAGTGGCATCTTCAAGCTTAACATAGGCATCACCTGTCTGTTTGTTTGTTTGTTTGTTTGAGTGCTTGACCATGCTTTCCACCTAGATTTAATATGTGATATATATCAAGGATAGTGATTAAAGATTGTAAATTTTTATCTTAAACTTCTGCCATATTGTGTCTGGCCTACAAATATCAACTTGTGTTTGTTTGTGGATAAATGTGAAATTATTTTTTTATTTAATTCTGGCTTTTCTTATAAAACAAAATTATTTTTCTCCAGATTACTTCCTGTATGTGATCTGACATCTTTAAGGAAATGTATACTGTTAAATTTTTTTAATCTTAGCCAATAGGACCATGATCATAGTATTCACATGTGATGCTGTTGATGACTGTATACAAGTTGGAAAGAAATCTGTTATGATGTGCTAACTTTCTTGTGTCCCTTGGTTAATTTTTTCTCTTGGAAAAACTACCAGTTCTTTCCTTTCACTGAATTTAGGCTGCTGAAGTAGTTGAGAGAAAGAAGTTGGAAAAGTATAAAAAAATGAAAGATGACATGGATGAAATTTCCAGCCTCCTTCAAGGAGATTTACTTTCTGAAAACCCTGAACAAGCAGTCAGTTCCTTTGGTAGACATCGTGTGATCACAGATCGATGGAAGGGAATGAATCAGGAGCAGCTGATGGCAATCCGTTACTCTCAACAGCAACAAGTTCTGGAGAAACTGGTATTTAACCTTATGTGCATATTTTCTGTTCTGACTGTAATAATATTATAGACAATGTTTGTAGAAGAAAATATTATTTGCCCTGCATGTCCCATTATAAGATTGTGTTTTCCATTGACCTAAATTTTACCCAAACTTTAATCAATCAAACTGAACGGTGTCTTTTAAGCAGCTGGGAAATGTCATGGAGTAGCAGGAGTGGCCTGGGGCCCTGCTGGGACGAAGACTGCTGTGCAGCCCAGTGCCAAGGGGCCTGGGAGATCTTGGAGCATAGTCCATCATGGCCCAGCTGAGGAGCAAGGTCCTGCACAGCCCAAGACCCTAGCTTTGTGGTGCAGTTTAGGACTTGAGACTGCACGAGCTTCCTGGAAGGGATGAGCAGGAGTGGGCTGCTCCTTGGGGGAAGAACCAGGAGCTGAGGGTCAATGCAGGGTAGGCCACAGCCGTGTTCTCATGTTCAAGGATACTCGAGCAAGACAAATAGAGCAGGTCCAGTCATCCTGCTCTTGCATATTTCATAGTTCATGAATGCAACAGAATTTCCTTTCTACTATCCCACACAACTGTGAGCTGTGCTCTGGGATAGAATTACAATAGAACAACTAAATATTGCTCATAATTGCTGCTCTAAAGGTGTATGGGCAGGCAGTTGAAATGAAGAGATCTGTCCTTCCTGTGCAGTCATGAGTGTACAGGTCTAGATATTGCAAAGTAGGAAGCTACTTACCTCATTCAGTGCAGAGGCTGGATTCAGAGCAGCTAATGAATACCTGTTAAATTTTATTTTTCAATCCCCACAATACCGTTTGCTACATTGTGTTTTATCTACTACTATCTATCTACTATTAAAGCTGAAGATAGAATTTTCATTTTCCTGGCTCTCCTATTACCCTTAAATGAACCCATTCCAAGGAGTTAAGCTGGCAGAAAATGAGCCCCACCAAGAAAAGTGAGTTTTTTGCAGGACTAGTGTCTTGAATCAGATCAATGTGATGTCAGACAGGAAGTGAAGAAGTGGTAGTATAACAAGGGCAGAGGAAAAACCAGTTTGGGTCTACTCATCTGGTGTTGGTGGCTCAGTTATTACACTGAGTTAGCTGCATTATGAGCCATACTGATGTCTACTAACTTCTGACCTTGAGAAGTTACAACTCTTGCTAACAAGAACTTAAAAAAAAAAAGTCTGTCTCGCTGCTCTGGGTTTTTAGAGAGAGCTGATATATCAGAGAGAAATAGTGATATACTGATTAACTTACTTCTGCTAGGCAGCAGGTCCTTATTTTCTTACCTTGTACAGAGGTAGGAGTATGTGTTCATCCCTGGAAAAGGATGGCTGTCTCATCTGTGGTATATTGCTTCTGCCTAATGCGTGGCCTCCTCCCTAGTTTGGAAGTGCTTTCTTTTCCTCCCTATTTCAAATGCTACCCTAGTGTTCAGTAAAGGCAAGCAAGTTTGTTTGGGTGAATTTACCAATCAGACTTTATATGTACTGTTTCATCTTTGAACAAAGAAAAAATTAAGCTTTTTTTCCACTCCTGTAGGGACTGAAAGAGGAAGAACGCCAAAGAGATGCTGAATGGGACAGGCAAAGCATACAGGCTGCAAGAGCGCAGTTGATTTTAGAGCGGCATCAACAGCGACAGGATCGTGAGCGCCGCCAAGCTTTAGATAACATAAACGCAGAGCTATCTCAGGAGCAGAAATCAAAGTAAGTTTCTTCTTTTCAAGTAAAACTCTTTACCATTAACACAATAGCTTGGCTTTCAAAGAGATTTTTACTGGTATTGTTATTACTTTTTTTAATACACTGGTTAGAACTTTACACTTTTAAAAAATTAGTAATTCAGCGTGGTTTTTTTCAGTACTATTTATACAATCTTCCCAGAGTAGGTTATGATTATTACTGACTTACATATATGAATTAGTAGCTGGAATACTTAAAAATGTTCCACTGTCAACAGACCATTTCTATAGATAGCAAAATAGAGAATAAATACAATTAACTATGCAGAAAATGATATTATCACGTGTAAACTGTACATCTTTCTTTAATTTACCTTAGTTTTCTGAAACAAAAAAGGATGGGTATCAGTAGAACTTCCAGTTTCTGATAGCTCAGAGTTAAGCTAATGGCACAAACAGAGCTTTTCCAGTATGTATGACGAAACTAGATGGTTCTTTAGCTAACATGTCTTGGTGGACAGGTCTTTTTTGCTCTAATGGGAAAGGAATAAGTTAATATGTGAAGGAAAAAAAAAATGAAGCCAAGTGATTCAGTGTTTTATTCTTCCAGTCTTTTTTTTTTTCTTTTTTTTTTTTAATGCATGCATAAATTTTGTGAAAGAATTTCCAGTACATGATGCTTTCCTATTATGAAAGCAAAAATTAAGAATTGTGTTAATTTAGTTTTTCACTGTGAGATTTTGCAAGGTTATTTTGGGATAAAAAAAAGTTTGCTATATTGAGACGTGGCATACATTTTGGAGAAAAAAATCTAGCTATATTAAATTCCATTTCGACTAATTCCTAATTTTATGAGCATTTATGAGTGATTTTGCATTACATCTTCTTTAGGTTTCTCAGGTTATTTCTATACTATAATGAAAACATTTACTAACTGTATTTTTTTTTTTTATTTCTTGATAGAAACATTTATCTTAAAGAAGAAGAATATTCAAATTTCCCAACAGGCCAGTATTACGCGCAGTTTAATACAACCAGCCGATGACATTGTGAATAAATCAACCTGAAATATATGGAAGTATGTAGTCATATTAAATTTTTTAATTGAGCAATCGTGTTCCCTATCCTGTTCAAAGTTATATTCAGATTGTAATATTTACATTATACATGCCTTTAGAAATCAGTTTCTGGAAAGGAATCACAATTTAAAATACAATGCTACTTCACACAGCTTGATCAGAGGGGAATGTTGCCTGACATAAATAACAAGTGATGCACAATTAACAGATACTATAAGAGGGAAGAAACATGACCTAGGCAGAAAGTTTTGTATTTGTTTGTGGTTTCTGTTTTTTTGTTTTTTTGGGGTTTTTTTTAAAAGCAAAAAAAGCAGGGCAGACACAAAAGCAAGCAAAGATGAGGAAATAGACAAGTTGGTCAGACATATGCTTTTATTTCCTGAATAGTAGGAATAAGAAGAGAAGATTTTGATAGTTACTGAGATGATTATAGCATTGAGACATGACACAAATGGAATGTGTGCTGTAGTAAGTGGGGAAAAGTACAGGGGGAAGTGTTCCTACATACACCGTCATTCATTAGAAATAATAGAGAAAATTTAAGGGCAGCGTGCCTCTAAAGGAGGGTGTAGGGACAATTTACAGATGTAATGGAGGAGGAGGGAGGAAAGCAGGCATGCACCAAACAAAATCAGGGAGAAAAATCTCAGCTTCAGTTTGCTTCCTGTCTTTATGGTAAAATAATTGACTTAGCAATGGAAGAGCCAGTCAATAATACTTGAAAAATGAAAGTGAAACACATAGGAAAAAAATGTGGAGAAGCAATTAAGAAATTAACTGCACAAGAGAAATGGATGATAGAGATAACTAGAAATGGAAAGAGATTATATACAGAGCACTGGAAAAAGGTTTAGAAGACTTAATGATCTAAAACAGAAGAAAGAATGAAAGAGAGATGAGAGATCCAGCTAAACATCCATGACCTCTAAGATTGTGAACCCTTAATAAAAATAGGTCGTTTCTGAGAATAGATCTTGAAATAAGTATACGTAGCTTGCCAGAATCTGGAATGTAAAGTTGGGGCAAAAAGATCATTATGATATTGGCATGGAGTCTGACGATTGTTCTTTGTATCAGGATAAGTGATAACTCTGAATTCTGGTGAAACAGATTGAAGATGACTACATCAAGCTAAGTAGGAAGGATGTTTAAAGAAACTGAGGCTGAGGTAAACTCTAATGAGTTATTCTTATCTTTGTGAAAATAATGAAGAATGCATGGTTCTCAAGATAGATATTATCAGGAGGATTTTGAGATGTCTGAAGGAAGCATTCCTTGAAATGGGACTGTTCAAACAGGTCTGTTTGCATTCCTTGAAAGGGAACTGTTTTATAACAGGTCTGTTTGCTCAGCTGAAATAGTGGCCCTGTGGGATCAGATGATATGACTAATTGCCATTTTGAACCAGGTAATAACAACAGGAGTTTGGGAAAGACAATCATATTAATCCCTCTAGATGGAAAGGAGGAAGAAAATCAAGTAAGAAGAATATAAAAATGGGTAAGGAAGTGTCTTGGGACAGGATAACCCATAGCAAAAAGATAAGTCCCAATTTTAGTATATTAATACAACTATAACTAATTGCAGTATAGATAGAAACTTGGTAGAAAAGCAGCATGGCTGGAATACAAGAACTAAAGAATGTGCTATTCAGAAAAGTTGGAAGATAAAGCTGAGAGGGGATCACACTTGAAGCATTAAAGATGAGCTGGAATACAAAGAATTAAGAAGGGCTGATATTCAAGAGATTCTAATGTAATAGCATTTGAAGATGTATTTATTTGTCAGACTGGGATTCACATGTCTGGATGTCTTTGTAGTATTACCAAGTACTGTATTCAGTTGGCAATCTCAGGAGTGCAGGTTCTTATCTTAGAATAGAAAGGCCATCAAATGGGGTGGGAGGATAAAACAATAGGCTGTCTATACTAGTTTTCATTTAACTAAAGTTGGTTTTGATCTGTGTTTAATATCTCGGGCTCTGACTTCTCTGACTTCTTTTTTTTTTTTTTTTTTTAACTGAAGTTTTAGTTACTGACAGAAAAATGAATAAAGAAAGTGTTGAAAAGTTCATGAAGTTGTCTTAATTTGTCCAACTTGTACAAGTGGGTGTTTACACACTTTATGACAGCTGTACAGTTTAACTAAAATGTACTGGACCTGGTCAGCTGACATTTGAGCTTCCTTAAGGAAGGATTATATGATTAAAGCCTTTTTGTATTTACCTACTCACTTGCTTGAAAACTTTTTATATGAAGTTACAAAAAAGATAGGTTTCTCAGTTATACTATGAATAAGCCTTTAGATACAATTCAAATAAGAAAGCTCCAACAATTCAATAATTGTGTAGGATAAGGCATCACTAAATTCCCTGGAAAACTTTCAGCATCATCAGTCATATTTGCAAGAACAACCATGCTGCATTCCACCTGTTGTTTCAGAATACAAAAACTGAAATATCTTTTAGATATGAAAAAAGAAGCACAATCAAGTTGTAGAGAACATGCTTAATGTAAAGTGAAAAATGTCTGATTAGTTGTTGTTGATATTTTATACCAACTTATTTTATTTTGCACAGAAACAAGCTATGTTTTTAGTAGACATATCTCGACTGAGTAGGTGAAAATAACCGGTTGAGGTGCAGGAAATTCTCAATCCCATACGGCTCTATAACAAACAAGGTGTGGACTGGTATCTTCAGCTTTTGAAATGATCTCTTAACTTTTACTGCTGAATATTGAAACAAGTATACAAGATGTATTAAAAGAGCATTAGCTGATTGTAAGTGCTGTTTTAAAATGTTTGTTGTTTTCCATTACTGAGGTAATCTTTTCTTTGTGCTGTTTGTAGATATTTCTAATAAATACAGCAGTGAAAAAGGCATTATCTTCTGTATGAGGATATGGGCAGCTACATGGAATAAGTACAAATCAGAACTGTTGGAAGTTGAGGGCTATCAACTATCTCTTTATAAAGAAAAAATATATATCTTTTCCATTAAAAAAAAAAACAAACAACCTGTGAGTACTGCATAAGAAGTTCCTAACACTAATAAGTTCCTGTTACTGTCCTTACAATTAGCCTAATTAATTAGATGCAGGTACTACAAAATTGTCCACGTGTTAAATGGTCTTCATGGAGCATTACTGAAGTAATTTGCATAAGATGTATGTGCTAGGATCTGATTTCAGGGAGGAAAATGATGATCAGTACCTATCATGTTTAAATTTCTGTTTTAATTTTTTTGAATTTTACTTTTAGCACAGTTTTCCACACTACTGATACTTACCTTGGATTAATAATCTGGGAAAATGTATGTATTTAAAGTTTTAAAAAGAAGTTACAATGGTTGAACTAAGTCCATTATTCTACTTTTTCTTGGTATTTTCTAGACTCATATTTTTAATGGTTTCATGCCGTGTATGCACAAAAGCTTTTCACTTTTTCCTAGAAGGGCTATTGAAGAGTAAATAACTTCTTATTAGAGGCATTTTCATATTAAGCTAGATTTCTTTGAATATTGTATATTATGTTATAGATGAACTTTTATTGCCTCCTCTGAAGAGAGACTAGCATGAGATTGATCTTTTTATAGAGACTTTTATTTTTTTTTTAAAAAAAGGGTTCTAATACTCTTAAATTCATGGATGTTAATGAAAGCGATATTTGCCCAGGCTAATGCTCCCAGGGTTAATGATTATTCCCTGCCTGGTCTATTAATTCTCTCATCTGCTTTATTCGAATATTGCTGTGTAATTCCTGAGTTACATCCGGGACGTACTTTTAACAGTATCTACTTGCTTTTAATTTTCAAAGTTTATACTTCTGTAACATCACATGTTAAACATCGAATATTAAATATTGGCAGTAGTATTTCCATACTGAAAAGGCAAATACTAACTTTCATGAGCAGGTCACTGCCTAGATCTCTTAATATAATTTTACTCATACTATTGTATTTGGTTTTAGTTTTGCTGTAAGCAAGATTCATGTAGCAAAAAAAAAAAAAAAAAGATTGGATCTACAGATGAACATAAATGGGCAGGTAAAGGGGTAAAGAGTGAAAGTGATATTGATAGAATTTACATGCACCTTGGAAAAATGCAAGTCCCTGATGCTCTTGAGGTGCTCTTGAATCAGGTGATTCAGGGAAAGAAAACACAAAATTACTCTGGCTGTTGTAGAAGCCATCAATGTATGTTAAATGACCTTGCTCCCTGCTGTGGGGAATTTCTCTGTCCTAAATCTGGAGCAAAGGTCTAAACCAAGGAAATTCTTAGTTAGTATAAAAGATTCTCATGGCGATCAGTGGGTTTGGTTATATTTGTAGTTTAATGTTTGAATTGGTTTGGTATAAATCTTTTTGTGTTTCACTGGAACACGGACTAGCTAATTACATATGTCAGTGAGGTGTATTTTCCAGTGTATCTCACTATTTGTGGCATAGCGCAAAGTGCATAGTTAAGTCTTTGAAATGATAGTAGTTGGTGTGAGCAAATGAGTCTGAAATTCTGTGTAGGGTTACCCTTCTTCCATTCCTTTCCTTAAAGAGGACTAAGAAATGTAACCAAATAAGTACCAAGTCATAGTCCTCTCTTTGATGGAGGACTATTAATTTCCAGCAAACTGTGTCGGGGACTTCCAGAGCTATAGGTGGTTGTTTCTTCAATTAGTAACTGTGATAGAAAAGCCTTACACTTCTTGAACCCACATAAATTTAGCATCCAGGATGATTTCTTGCAGTCTCTGTACCTTTTTGTTTGTTTGTTTTTGAACTTGACATCCTCAAACTTTGTTTGGTTCTTGTTAATCTTTTTATGAAAATATTTTTAAAAGGTGAGCAGCTGTTCCCTGTATTCTTCACAGATTTTTAGATCTCTGTCACATCACCATTTAATCTTCCCTATTTCTATGCTAAAGAATCCTTAGTTGGTTCAGTTATTCCTCGTTAAAAACCTGTCACATGGATTTCTCAGTCCTTGGTACCAATTTCTGTACTTTTAAAAATATTACTATGTAACC